GTGTTTCATCAGCCCAATGGACTCACCTTGATGATAATTTTCAAGATCAGATTTAAGATACAAGGTGATTAACTAAATAATGATAATGATGTTCAATCAAAGTTAATTAGACATTTATTTTGTTTTGTTTTTCCCTATTTATCAAGATAATTGATCAACCCAAAGTTAATCATCATGATAATCATAATGGTGATGATTATAATCAGTTATGAATTTCAATCCAGTTTTGTCTTTTCAGATTCTCATTCAGATTATTATTATTGTTAACTACTGATATTAATCTTGATTAAACTGGTTTTCTGATTGATTAATTTAATCATTTTAAAACAAAACAATGATATTAAATGGGATGAAATCAACTATTTGATTAAATCATTTCATTTCAAACAGTTACAAACATATTATCATTAATAACACATAACAAAATAACATATCATTAGATTAGTTGATTACACTTTCTGTTTAATTGTTATCAATGATTAACTTTTACTGCTCTTAATCATATTTATTGATTGTTATTGTAACAATCAGGAAACTTTTTGTTTCTCATAATTATATATCTATCTAATTGTAATGGTCAATTTTAATGATAACAATTTAACCTTTAAGGGTCAGATTATTGTTAATTGTTCTGGATTCGGATTAATTTTCAGTTACTCTAATTAATTGATTGTTGTTGCGATTATTTGAAGGAATGATAAATATTGAACTTAATCAAAGTTAAATTAAAGTTTTTTAATTGTATGAACCGCACGTCCTAGGATATTAAAAGCTTTGAATACTTTGTTTAACCTAAGGTGCAAATAACGGTTGTTCCGTAATACGAAATTCGTATGGCCATAAAAAAGAGTATGAAATAAATATAATACGAATTTAAATCGAAATCATAATTAATCTCGATCTTTAGATCGCAGGCCTCAATTGTTTTGATTAATTGTTACACTTTCTTTTGTATATTAATATGTATAAGTGAGGAAAATGAATCCAATGTAACATTTATGAGAATCAGTTAATTGCTATCAATAGATTTAGATCATGAGAGTTAAATTGTTGACTATCTTTTAATCAAACTTGTATTTATGTACTTTTCTTGTTAATTAATCAACTTTTATTGATTGTATCTTGATTTAGTCATTTATAATCATAACTTACAATAAAAAAAAAGTTAAGCTCATTATGTTTTCACATCGTTATCATTATCATTTGAATATCTAATCATTAGTTTATTAAATCATGAATATTATCAGTAAATCATGATGGGAATTTAAATTGTTGCAACAATATTCTGATTATGAAAGAGTGGAAACATTAATTGTAAAATCAAATAAGTGATTAATTTGCATATATAACAGTCATTGATCTTGTTAGCTGATTGTTGAACAATAAAAAAAAAATGATCTCAACTCTTGACCAACACAGATTCATGCAAAGTTAATCATGATCGATAAAATCTGATAACAATCAACTAACAATTAAGTCTAATGATGAAAGTAAAATTAACCGGAAGAGAAAGAGAGACAATATGAGATTCATAAATCAACAATCAACTAAACAACAATTAAAATTGATTCAATCAAAAGTATCAACATGAAATATTATTATCAATACAATGATAACCTTAGATTAATATAAAGTCACAATCAGATTTATATTATTATAATATAAAGTTGTTTCTTATTTAAATTAAATTGTTTACACCAATTTAAATGTTAGTTTAACAGTTAATAGTTGAAAATTAACTGATTTTTGTTTGATTAATATCAACTTGATTATATTATCACGACACACGAGTGATAAAATGATCAACAGTCTCATTTGTATACCAACAGGAAAAAAAGTAAAAAAAAAAGTAAAATTTATCATTGTGAATACATTGGAATCGCAGTTAACAATACAAGATGATTGTTGATTGTTATGATTATGATTATGATATAATAATAAATTTTTATGACAATAATAGCAAGGGAACACAATAGGACATTAGCACGTACTGTTACAACACGTGCTAATGTGCTTAGACAGAGAGAGAGTCAGATTATAATGTCAACAATCAATGAGAATGACAATCAATGTCTCATTGATTAAATGACTGATATTTGATTGTGATTATTTTGATTTGGTTGAATGAAAATTTCCCTCTGATTGTGTTAATATTTTGATTTCTCACACTCACATAGACATTAACAATTTAAACTGGATTAATGATGTTTCTAGATTTAGATTAAGATTGTTAATAGTGAATGAATTTTTTTATTTATATTTTCCTCCAGTCTATTTAAGTGTTAATAATGATTAAGCTAATGGTCAATTGTTGATTATAATGACCTGACTTTTAACTTGACCTTTCGATTGGTGTATAAGATATTGTATTTGTTTTGATTCTGTTTTGATGATCAACTTTGATTGTCGTTGTTATCATTTGATTGTTAAGCATTTCCGTTTGTCTATCCAATCAACCGGTCACTTCCTGATTGATTAATATTGTAATTCGTATCTTATTGTTACTATTAATTGGTTGATTAGGTTTGATTTGATTATTTTTTACTCTCTTTATGATAATCAAGCTTTCAATTGTTGTCCATCAATTGTTTTCACAATTTTGTTTATCTTTTCTTACTTTTAAATCAACGATTATTGTTAATTGTCAATGTGCCAATGGGTTTGTTTATTTAAAGCGTTGGTGTCTGATTGTTGATTGTGTGATTAACTATTTAAATTTGGACAATCTATTTATGGGTCAGTGATGTTGAAGAAAAATTTTAAATTAGGTTAATCATGTTGCTCATTGATGATAATATATGAAATTTTTGATTGTCCGCCATAATCATTAGTAAATTGTTGTTTTACAATTTAAAGTCTTGTTACTTAGTTGGACAGTTAAGATGAACAATTTATTTCTGATTGTTGAATCGTTTTTAGTTTAATTTTTTTCTCAAATTAATGTTAATCTTTTTGATTCAGTGAATTTAACGTTTCACCAACAATAATTAATGTTAATTGTTTGATAATTAACGGGACAAATTGTGCGTTAGGTGCTTATCAATTAACACGACAGATGAATTTAATTGCTTGGCACAATTAAGAGGCTCACATTTTTGTGTTTATTTAAATTATCGTACCCTTTTGATTTGATTTGATTTCCAATTGAAAGTTAATAGTTTTTTTTTAAATTTATTTAGTTATCGTAGCTCCTGCACCCATCTAGCGATAAAACAAATAACTAACTCGAGATTTCTGGTATCAGTGGTGTGCTGCCATCTATTAGGAGATTTAGCAACTAAAAGAGCTTCATCCATATGAAAAATTTACGAAATCATTAAATTGTATTCTTAGATCATAATTGGATGATCTTTACTGAAATTAATTAGATTTTGCTGTAACATTGAACTGGTAAGCTTGATGTTTGGTGATGATGATAACTTTGTGTTACGAATAATCTTTATCTTCCAAAACATTGAATTGATTGTATAAAGGTGAATCAGATCAAGCATAAAATATACAAAGTTATTGTACAAATAACATGATTTTGCTTAAAGAGATTAGCTCAAAAAGTTTTTGCTGGAAGTGAATTTGCTTAAATTGATTTGCTGAATTTACCCATCAACCTTTCAAGTTTGGCTATTTTCTATTTTGCTCTTATTCTAATGCTCACCCTTTTATCTTCTCTATCTTCCAACGGTCATTTTGACCTACAAAAACGGACTCAAATTATTGACGGGTTCATTTGTGTTTTAAAACAAAACCATCTCCATGTTGGAATCCTCCTTCCTTTTCCGTAGAGAAAGTTTTTTTCATTAAAATAAAAATTCACTCTACACTTATCAGCAACGAATATTGTTCAATCGTCATCATCAATGATGATTATCTCAGGTTGACACTTTCAATTCAACACAATTTTATGAACTTGACTGTAATTTGTTTTTGGGAATTTCTTTAAATCAAATCGACACAATAATGAAACCTTAACATCTTGCTGAATGTCAATGCCATAAGTAAATTCATATTTGTAATTTTCTTTTATTGTTATTGTTTTGGTTCGTTTCAGGTTTGCTTGAATACATTGAGAGCTCTGACCCAATCTATATTTTGAATCACAACGGTAAAATATTCATTGGCTTTGCTGCATTAAAATTCAAGTTAAGGCTACGGAATTTAACGTACGTAGGCTACTTGCCAACTCTCATTTTCGAACTCGCTATTGACTGTGTAATATTTGTAACAAACCGAGGAAAAAGCCTGCAATTGAATCGCGAATTATCACTCGATAGAAATTGTCTTTTCTATTTGATTACTTTTGTAAATGCTCATCAGATGCTCGAAATAGAAATATCAACCAAAATTTTAGCATGAAAACTTTATTCTAGTGCAGGTGAGTTGATTTTCACCACGCAAAGTTTATTAAATGGTACATACCGAATCAGGTGCGAAATGCTTGATTAAATTATTTATGCTGAAAAATCCTCTATGACAACCACAGCAAATAAGAGCGCAGTTTTTAGACTGTAGCCTCGTACTCTTGTGAACGTCGAATCTTTAAATCTGTTGGCACAATTGCAACCAACGAAACCACCGTGGTCAAAGCTGTAACTTTGGATTTTTTTTCTCAGCGGCCATTGTAAAAGAAAAAGAAATGAAAGAGAAATGGAGGATTGAAATTTTCTTCATTATAATGATCTTTGATCATTTTAAAGTCGAACCATATTAAAATTATTGGTGTTTGAAAGGGTGTATGTGGCCTTTAATTTGATGAAGCTCTTGATTTAATTAATAAGTCTTTTTTATTTATTCTGAACATTAAGAGAATCACAATTAATTTAAACACAAAGACACAACGTAACGAAAAAATGATCTACGTTGATGTTCACTCTTTGATGGTTGCACGAGTTGTTAACCCAACAATCAACTGATTACATAAAGATTGATCATTTTTCATTGTCTCATTGTTGTTACCTGTTTTTCAAACCTTGTTTTTTAAACAATCAAACTGTTTTATTTGATTAACAACCTTAATCAAATATCAATTTGGTTAAAAACTACAATTACAATTGAAAACAATTTACATTTCAAATCAATTATCTTAATAATCATTAATAACATTCGTTGTTTATTAATAAATTTTATATTTACAACAATTTATAAGTTGATGGTTAATGAATACGATTTGTTAATTTTCAAGTACTGAAGTTAAATTTCAAGTTACAAGTTGATTTGATCAATGAGCTCAAATGTGACAATGTTGATTAATATGGAAAAAGAGCATTTTGTTTGATAGAGTGAAACAATTCGATCAATACATTAAACAATTTCGTAGCCATAAAAACCACACATTTAATAAATTAAACTCAAACTAACTAAATAATTAATTACAGCCAACAATTAGCTATTTAATGATCTCTCTTGATTGGTGAGTTTGATGAATTTACCAAATTAAAATCTTAAAAATCGCAACAATTGATAAATAAATGAGGTATATTGTTGCTGATCCCACTGGGATGTAGACTGCATTGGCGAGCAAGAAATTCATGATACGAAATAAATTGATTTGATTGTAACAATTAGGCTTGAATTTGTCAACGAAATTTTCCTTGTCTTGGTAAAATGAATTCATCATCAAGTCTTTACTTAACCATAACTGTTGTAACCACGATTCGTTTAATTTACTTCTTGGTACTCTGTAAACACAATCTGATTGTTCAACTGTTTCTAATGATTGTATTTTATTAAAATCGTTGACTATTTGGTCATAATCGTTGATTGTCTCACTTTTATCGTCATCAATGATCTCGAATACTCTGATCACAGAATAGAAAGAACTGCCCATTAACTGCTCTGTATGAAGAAACAAATTTCTGGTAAGTTTATCGATATTATCATATATTATTGTAGCATCAATAATATGAGTGAAACCATTTCTTTTATCAACAATATCGAGAAAAGCCCGAGCTCGAGGCCAAACAGTTCTGGTCAATTGGGGTAAACCATTTTTCTCAGCATATCTGAAACTTGATTCCGAGTATGTACTTCTAAATCCACCTTGAAACAAATGTGAATCAAATAAACCATTAAAATCGAAATCAATGAGCAATGAGTATACAGCCAGAGAAAATGAGTTTGACGCTGGTTTTATATCATTCGCTCAGGTAAAAAAATGATAACAATCAAATCAATGTTAAATGTTGGATCTCTTGATTATCTAATCATTGATAAATTGTTGTTATCACTCTACGCAAATAATTTAAAACCACCGTCAAACTCATTTTCTCTGACTGTATAAATACCTTCCGGGCAAAGAACAATAGTTTTGTAATTTCTCGAGTTCAGCGCCCAGTATTCAACGAAATCACCTTTCTTGAAACTCGAATCAACACCAAAATCATTTCGTATTTTATTAATTAGTCCATTAGCCTTATAGCGATAATATTTACTCCAAACAATAACGAATTTTACAAACTTATTATCGAGAAATATCGAATGAAAAATTAGAGAATCCATGATTGTTTGATGGTTAGAAATAAACAATACTTTTACGGATGGTGATGATAAATCGATAACTGAACTTGGATCAGGACCAAACCGATAACCTAATAACCAAATGAAAATTAATTTATTATAAAAATCAAAAAAGTTACTTACCTTTCACTTTATAGCATAACGTCAACCAAACACTGATAATTTTGACAAGCGAAGCTAAGAAAATTTTGTCCAATTTAGTAAAATATGAATATGAAACTAATTTTAATGGTGAAATCAGACAATACAATACAATTAGCGAAATCGCAGTTGCGACACAATTGCTCAAAAATAAAAAATTTATAACTTTTTTTTTAACAATTAGCAGTTCCATATTTATCACTTGTAATAATTTATTAAAATATGAATATGAAACTAATCATATTAAACATCAATTACCAATATTCCAAGCGGAAAATTCGAATGGGCAGTTTTGACCATTTTTGTTTTCTTTTATATTGAAATCTCCTGCAGTTGACCTGCATAACCCTTTATCTCTTTCCAAAACTTTTTCAAAAGATTAAGAATCAAGGATTAACTGTCAATTTTTCGTAAGCAAGAATTGAATAAAATTCTCAGTGACTGAGCCACTTCAAGCCAGCTTAGTCGATAATTTTTTCACTCGAGCCGATGATGCCTAAAGCTACTCACTCACTCACTCCAGTTCACTCACTTCGACGTCTAATTAATTCATAATAATTCGTAACTCCTGCGACCATCTAGCGATAAAACAATTTCTAACTCGAGATTTCTGGTAACAGTGATGTGCCTCCATCTATTAGGAAATTTAGCAACTAAAAAAGTTCACCAATATAAAAAATCTATTCAACAAACAATTGAATTGTATTCATAGATCACAATTGGATAATCTCTAGTTCAATTAATTGGTGTTTGTTGTACCATTTGACTGATAAACTTGATAACTGATGATTGTAACTTTAATCCGATTCAGTTAACTGAAAAAGTTTGAGACGTTGATTGATTAGATCAAAATTAATCTTGAGACGACTAATTAAATAGCAATTAACAACATTAGGATAATTAGTGACCATTTGACTTTTTTTAATTGCTATTAAATTAATTAACTTTAATAATGAAGATGAACCGTAAATAATTAAGGAGGTAAAGTTGATTGTTGAAATTTAATTAGTTTACTTTAATCAATAATTGAAATCTAAATCTTTTTTGAAAGGTAAATTTAAATATCAATTAGCAATTGATTAAAAAGAAAAAGGAAAAAATCTAAACAATTTAGTAATTGTTATCAATATAATCACAGAATTCATGGTTAATTATTGTTTGTTACATCTAAATAAACAATTATAATCACGGAATCTATTGTGATGATTATATTACAAAAGTTTGATTCAATTCAATTGATTGTTGATTTTTTCGTGATTAAATCATCAATTGTTTTAATCATGATAATCATTATGATAATTATCATTATGATGATTAAATTGTGCTCATCGATATGCATGATTAATCAATTTAACAATTTCCCAATCGAGAAGTAAGTTGATTAATAAAATATAGTAAAACAATCAAAATTAATCAACAACCAAGGATCATCTTTTAATCCAATAAACCAAATGATGAACCAATTAATTGTTAACAATCAATGAAAATTGAACAAAACATCAAATTCATCGGTATAAAAATGGTTAACAGTTAATTTTAATTCAATTGTAAAGTGACTTTGACCTAATTGCTGACAATTATCATCACCCTATCTCAACAATCAACGCTAATCATAATCAGATTTTAGCACAAAAAAAAGTTTATTAATTGAGTTAATCTTTTGTTTGTTGTTAATTTTTGTTTTCTGATGGTTTTAACAATCAAAATTGTTTACCAACTAAATCAACCAAACTAATATGTAACTGATTGATTGATTAGGATAAATTGTTGCTGCTTCTTCAGCTTGATTATCATCGTGATTAGTACATGAACAAAATGATTAAACGTAACAATTGAAATTGTTTAAGGTTAACAATTAACATCATAATAATAACAATAATCAGTTTTGAGACAAGGATTGTTATTTATTATCAACTGTAACCATCAACGTCGTAATCAAATTTAACTACAATAAAGAGAGAAATTAAATAAATTGTGATACAAGAAAATTAAGCAAAAAGATGAACTTTAATTTGTTCCAATTAAATTTAATTTTATGTTCAATTCACAAGATTGACAATTACATTGAAAAGGAAACATTTAATCACAACAGAAATTAATACCTACCTCTGAACAGTAACAGCAACAATTAACTTTTCATCATTCAAACTTGTTAACATCTAAAGCCAACTAACAATTAGCTGATTATGTCAAACAATTTACATACACAATATATAATTAGACAAAAGGAGAGAGTAAAAAGTTTAATCATGACAATTAAATATTAAAAATTAACCGATTGATTGTTGATCTCAAAGATTATTGATCATATTTTGTTAAAACAGATGATTAAATCTAATGTATTGAAAGGAAATGATGAAAGTTGATTGTTATCATTGGAGTGATTAACTAATTCATTTAAAAAAGAGGATATATTAATATTAATTAATCACTATTTATTTGGGACTTCCTTTTTTGTATGATAACAATTAAGATGACGATGATGATGATGGCGATAGGGAAGAATCGTCAAGTAAAATTGATTGTAAATATATAAATTGTTGGTACGATAAATTGTCCAAATTGTAAAGTTAATAAATTATTGAGAGACAATGAGTTAAGTATAAGGTTAATATTTAAATGAATCAAAAAATTATTATGCTTCATTATTATTAAGCATATTATTAATTGTCCATAATTGTTTTGACAACGGAAAAAAATGCATCACAGCAAATCATCATAATTTAAACATTGATTGTTAGTCTATTGTATTGTTATTTCAATAGATATGATGATGATAATAATGATGATGATGATGATGATTACGATGATAGGAGGGAGAAATAGCAAAGTGGCAAGAGAGAGAGAGAGAGAGAGAGTGGGTGAAATAAGGCTGATTGAGTGATTAAATAATTTGAACGTTTGTTTGTTTGACAATTTACTAAATGTATTTTTCTAGTAATAGTAGTAATGACACAATCGCCAATTTCATTTTCTTTGCAACAATGGAAACACTATGATATAATAATAATATGATAATGACAATTAAGTTTTTGTCTCATATATTAAAGGGGAGAGAGAGAGAGAGTAGGGTGGGAGAAGGGAAAAGAAGATGAGAGGAAGAGGTTTTTTTGGGTGTGGATGAGGATTGAGTAGAAAGAGAGAGAGAGAAACAAAATAGGGAAGACAAGTAGTTATTGATTGTAATAGTTGATACCTAATATGATATCATAAATGAGCTAAATATTTGTTTTTGTTTTTGTTTGTGACATGAGCTTCATCTGAGATTTCATGATTCATGAATAAAAGGCACTAAGGAAGGCACAAAATGATTGCAAATGAGAAAGAGAGAAAAAGAGATTTGATTTTGAGAGGGAAGAGTTAGAGAGAGAGAGAGAGAGAGAGAGATTGTAAATAGCTTGAGGTTAAAGATGAGCGATGATTGTTGGCATATATTGCGTGTTATGTGTGGTTGAAGTTTTTAATTGCTCTAGTTTGTTTGTGTGGTTGTGATTGATTGCAATTGATTGTTTGCTTATTGTTGGTAGTATTGGTAGTAGAAGTAGTTATAAGTCTTAATAGTAGTAGAGATAGTGGAAGTAGTAGTGATAGTAGTAGAGTGGTAGTAATAGTGGTCCTAAGTTGCTGGCCTTTGGTAAGGGTGATCTCGGACGCTGGGTGTCCGCCTTGCTTTGCCAGGACCTGCAGGGTGGTGGTTGGGATCGTGGATGGATGAGAGTCAGAGAGATGGGAGGAAGGAGGAGGCATGGGTGATGAGGATGAGGAATCGACGAGGAAATTGTTTGTTTGTTTTAAGGTAAAATTTTGATAATTGAAATTATCAAATGAAGATGATGACGATTGAAAAATATACCAAAAATAGTGACCATTTGATTGTTTAGTAGTTATAAAAGAGACGATGATGATGATGATAAATCAAGAAGAGGAGGATTGGGAAGGTGGGAGGAAGTGGGTAGAAAGAGAGAAAGAGAAAGGGAAAAGAAAAGAAAGAGAAGAAAGGAAATGTAAGTTTCGTTAGTAAAGTTATTAAAATATAAAATTAATTTGATTTGTTTTTGAAAGATTTAGATTAAGATTATGATTGTGAGAGATTAAGGCAAAAGTTGAAAAATTAAGATAAAAAATAGTAGTCATTTTACAGAGATAATTAAGATTCGAGTAGTTATATTGAGAGAGAAAGCAATTGATTGGAATTGATTAAAAAAGTTAGTTTCTCTTTCTCTTCCTCTCTCTCTCTCCCTTTCGCACAATTAGGAAATTGAGTAATTAAAAGGGAAAATCATTGTAAGTTAATTAAGAGAAAAATAGATTGATTAGCGAAAAGGAATTAAGGAAAATTGGAGGATTTTGATTGGAAATGATTATGAATGAAAAGGCAATCAAGAGGATGGAAAAAGTTTGATGAGATGAAGAGAAAACTACTGATCAAAGTTCTGAAATAATTTAGTTAATCACAGAAAAAGAAAAGAATTAAATAAATTATATGAACAAAAAAGGAAATAAAAAGGGAAAGGAAGATAAATCAATGATTAGTTGATTATCGAGCAAACTATTAAGCCAATTGAAGATAATCTGAGATTAACGAACAAAATTTTGATTGCATTTTGATTTTAAGATTCTGATAATTGTTTTTTTTTGGATAATTTTGAAATCTTTTTATAAATTTAAATAAAAATTGAATGTTATACAAAAAAATTGGTTCCAATAGATTTCATCTGAAATTTAAATTAAAAAGGTTTGAATCTCAACAATCTTCACAGGGAGAGAGATACAAAATATATACATATATATGCTGAATAATTTGATTCAATTGATTTTTTTGGGTGTATGTGATTGCATAGCATATATATGTATACATTTACGATATAATATAATATATATGGTGATAGGTATAATAATAATAATATAAATCGCTCAGCATTTGGCTTATTAAGTTTGCACAGGGGGAAAAAACAAAAAAAAATCAACTGAGAGAGAAAACGAAAACGGGAAGAGAAAGAGAAAGAGAAATGGGAGAAGGAGAGAAAGAGAGAAAGAAAGAGAGAGAGAGAGAAATAGAAAAGAAATAGAGATTCAATTATCGGCTGAAAAACCCACCGGTTGTATCTCCTTGTGATGCTACTTGATATTCTGCTAACAATGGCGAAGTTAGTGCGGCATATTGATGAAAATCATATGGTGCATATAAAAATCCAGCATCAGCTGGTCCAAGCATAGGAGGAGGAGCTGTACTTCCGTTAAGTAGAGTGGTGCTTGTTGGCACATGAATATGGCGAGGAGAAAATATAAGTGGAGTACCAAGAGATGTTGCTGTGTGATGTGTACGAATTGGTGTTGTTAGAGCAATAGGAGGAGCTATTAGTTTCATGTGCTCACTTTCAATACCTATTTGGGTTTAATTTGGTTGATGATGGAAACATGATGATGATGATAAAAGTGTTAAGGATGATGATTTAACAACATTACGAAGACAAATGGAGGAAAAATTCAACAGGAGATGAATGATGATTGAGTGAGAGTGAAAGATGATTGTGAATGAAAAAGTGATTATCATCATGAGAACAACATGAGAAGCAGCAAAAGTTTCAGGCCAAAAAGTGTAATACCAACAACCGGAGTATTTAAGGATCATCGGCATCAAACAAAATAAGTTGATCATGATCATCAATATTCATAAGTGATTGGGTTTCCAGTTTGTGCGAGTTTTGTGAAACCATGAATTGGTCCATTGGGCGCCGAGTGGGTGAGGCAAATACACACACGAAAAGGGAGAAAAGAGAAAAATAATTTAGATGAGAAAAAAGTGTCGTCAGTTAATTGATTGTTGATCATTAAGATTGATGAGTGAGTCAAAAATATACACATATACTTATAAATATATAACTACATATTCACAAGTAATATCATAATCACGCACCCAATGCTCTCATCGGAATCATCCATGACAGTTCAAAAGAGGGAGGGAGGGAGGGAGAAAGTAAGAGGAGAGGGAGATAGTAGCGTAAATAGATGATCAATGAGTAAGGAGGAAGAGGAAAAAAGGAGACTGAAAGTCTGAAGATGAGTAAAGAATAGGACAGGAGGGTGAATGATAATTGTGATAGAAGGAGATAGATGAATGTGTGTGTGTGTGAGTGAGTGAGAGAGAGAGAGAGAGAGAGGAAGGGGAGAAGGTAAAGTACAGTTAAAGATGACAGAAAATTAAGGATTAACCCAGACTGAAATTGATTGAGAAACAATCAAGATGAATGATGAACGATTGAGCAATGGTCATGAAAAGAATCACCAACATGAGGACAATCAACTTATTATCAATTATGAAACTTATTGTCAACGTACAATTTTTCACGGTTCCATCTCGATAGGTTCCATTAATTATGGCCAATTCCATCAATTGACGTTTTTTCAGTTCATCTTCACCTTCAGTCTATAACAAATTAGAAGCGATAGTGAAGAAGAGAAACAAAAAATTAAAAATGGATTAGAAAGATTAAGATCAAAAACCAGGAAAGAGAAGAGAGAAAATGATCAAGTGGGGAAAAAAATCTAAATAAAAGTTTAAATATATTATTCAAGAATAAGAGTGAGAGGGGACACATGAGAAGAAATTGAAGATTTAGCCAAGAAAATCGTTTCGAAAGTTACAACTTACAACAGGAATTAACAATTTTCTAATTTCTTCTACTGCTCTTTTCATCTTGATTGCAGCTCTATTTGGTGTATCCTCTACTGTAATCAAAACATGAAGCTCGTCATTCAAATGCTCCCAATTAGGTTTACCCCGATTTTGTTCCTCCTACGTTGTTGATTCACCATCATTATTTTCAACATCATGGGTAAGGGATAAATAAAAATAATAATGAATAAAAAAAATGAAAATAAAATTAATAAAAATAAAGAAATTAAAAAATAAAATTCATTCAAGTAAACAAAAAACAAGATCAGATAATTAAAAAGTTAACGATTGAGAAAAAGAAAAACAATCAAGGCAAAAACATATGATCGATAAAAAGTAAACAAATAGACAAGAAAAAAGATCGACATGGAAAATTAATCATTCAAATGGATAAATAAAGAATGACCAATGTTATTAATGATACAAAGTAAATTAAGAATAATCAACATCCGATAGTTTGACAGTTGTGATACATTAAGTTTCCGGAATAAATCGTTGAGTTGATTAACTGGTTGCTGATGAAAATTGATTTGTACGAATGCCAATGATCAACAAATAGCTTGAAATTGAATCGGTGAAATTAATGTCAACATAACTTTTTCCTCTTTCTTTTCTTTGGTATGTTTACATTACGTTGTTAAATCATTTCACACTTAAATTCATTTAACCTGAGACCCTCCTCTCTCTCTCTCTCTCTCTCTCTCTCTCTCTCAGTCAATCTCTCTTTCACTCATTCTCTCTCACTAACCCAATCAACCTCCCACTCTCTCAATGCAGAAAAAAACACACACACCAACACACTCAAGGTTCTTTGAATTAGTTATCCTCTGCATCCTTCATCCATTCACTAATTTGCACAATACTCTAAATTCCTATCATTGCTTTTAATTTAATTCTATTGTTATTGTCATTTAAAAAGTGACATTTCCCTCCTAATCTTGCTCTCCCTTTTCTCTGAATATTTACTATATGTTAATGGGTAAAAAAAACGGTTCTTTTTGTAAGATTTTGCTTCCTGATAGTAATCACCTACTACACTAATCAACAATATACAAAATAAATACACACGTAAACATTAAGATATGTTACCTGAAAGTGAGAAAAGACCTGACACACAAATGTAATATGTAATAATGTAAACATTGATGATTAGGTGAGTGAGTAAAATGAATGAATGAACGAGTGAGCGACACATCAACCATGAGATTGACAGGGTAACCTCATTGAGTAAAAAGTAATTTAGAGTAAAAGAAATAGGTAATTGAAATCAACGGTTCACAGGTGAACAGATTCACCTAGTATCTTAAATTTTCTTCAGGTAAATAAACAAATCATAATAATCAATTGTAATGATAATCATCATTACTAGTTAATTACTATTACAGTTATTTACAATTGTATAACTGTAGTAGTTAACAGTTACAATTAAAAGTAGCATTTGTAAACACAATTAAAAACGTGTTGAGATGAGTGATTAGATTATAAATATTATATTATAAAAGTGGATTATACAATTGTAATTAATCAGAAGTACGTATCAAATTGAGATTAATCAAGAGGATGAATTAATCAATTAATCTAATAATATTTTCTCTTATAAACAACAAGTAACTTAAGTGTTTATACCTGCACTTCTCTCCCTCTCGTTTTCACACTATGTTTATACACAGAGTATGAGTGAGTAAATATTAATGATAACAATAGAAATGATGATAGAGAAGAAATAAAAACAATAGGTAATTCCTCTATCACCTGTCATCATAATCATTACCACCTTTCATGTAGTATTTTTAGATTAATAAATGTTCATTCAATAAATTGTCGATATCGCTCTTCAAAATCAATTAACACACACTTGAGAGAGTGATAGAGTAACATAGATAATTAATAAATCTATAAATCGAATATTGTATTTATAGAAACAGAATAGATTCAATTGAGTAACATGTTGTTAAGTGATGAAGATTCTGATAGCTGAGATTGTCATCAAATATCTTTAACCTTAAGCTGAAAAGATTATCATTACATACACACAAATTCTGCTAATAGTTTTTAAGTCAATTTGGTCCAATTTTTGATGGAATTTTTCTCAGATAGAGTGAGTAAGAGAGAGAGAGAGAGAGAGAGAGAGATTAGGAAATATATATGATGAGGATAAAAATTACGTTATGATTAACCAATGAGTGTAAAATGATTTCAAATTACAACATAAAGGGAGAGAGAGATTTAAGGAAGATGATTGTGATGATGATTATGGCAAGAGTAAAAAGTAGTGATAGATTAGTGTGGGAGAGAAAGTGAGGGGGACAAGAAGGACCTTATTTGGGTGTTACCTTGATTACGCCCACTCATTGGATACCTTATAAGGAGGAGTCACTACTAAAGCAAAAAAGAGCACACCAGGGCTTCATCATCATCCTCATCTTCACATCTTATTTGCTATTTGTCTCTATTCTTTCTCCGAATTTTTTTTTCTTCGCCTTTCCTTTTTGCTCTCTTACAAAATATCAAGAAAGATAAGATGGGTTTGGGTTAAAAAGAGAAGAAAACAAGAAAAAAGGGGAGTAAGAGAGCGAAAGAGAGAGAGAAAAAAAGAGAGAGAGAAGATGAAGGAAAAAGTAAAACAAGAACGAATGAGAAGGATGTAAGTTGGCAAGATGCATAAGTGACTTTACGTTGCACTCAAAAATAACCTCTCTCTCTCTTTGGATTATTCTTTCATCTTTGGTAAGAGATAGAAGACGAAGAAAGAGAGTATCATCAACGTCAACATCAATTAGGAAGCGAGAGAAGGATAAAAAAAGAGAGAAAAAATGATAGAGAGGGATAGTGAAGAGAGAGAGAGAGAGGTAAATTTTAGGCTGAAAACTTCCTACGCTCATCCTACTCTCTATCAGTGCCTACCTGTTCTGATGATGGAAAGATAGATGAATCAGAATGAAAGATGAAGTAACGATAGAAAAAGAGAGAAATTTGCAGATTTCCCTAATACAATTTAGAATTAAAATAATAATAACACAATGAAGTTAAGAGGGAGAAGAGAAGAAGAGAAACAAAACGATGGAGAAAAAGAGTAAAAAGAGTGATGTAAATTAACCATTGTGTATGTAGAGAGAGAAGACGAATGGTAGAGAAAAACAATGAGATACCTTTTTCTTGTCCCTCATAGATCCACGACCGCGAACCATTACTTTACAACCGGTTTCTTGTTCGAGTTGTTTAGCTGTCATACCACGAGGCCCAAGGATTCTCCCAACAAAGTTATACTGGTGTTTACAGGTTTTTTCGGTTTTTGTTGATTATGATAATTTGGTATATCCAGAGAGCCAGAGAAAGAGCAAGTGGATGGATGAAGAAAGAGAAATAGAAACGAGAAAGAAACAAATTACAATCCATTGTATATAACACACACAATCCATAAGATGAAACATGAGTTTTCATGACATATGAAGTTAGCTTGTAATGGAAATCTCATTGTGCAACTTACTTCAGGATATTCTTTAGCAGGTACATAAACTTTCTCTTGTTGCTGTACAATTTGACCTTCAGGATCTGGCAATAATAAAGGCTTCTTTTCTTCACCTTCCATGTGAAAAAGTGAATCTCGGACCCTTTTTATTTCTAGGTTGTTGTGAGATGATCAAAGAGAAATAGAAAGAGAATTTTTTTTAGTAAACATCAATACATAAAAATGAAGGTGAAAATGAAGAGAATATATATATGTATAGAATAGAATAGAAGAGAAAAAAAGCAAAAAAAAAAGAGAAGAGAAAAAAATTGTTGTGGTAACAGTGGTGAGGGTTAAAAGTGGTTAGTGTTTCATGAAGATGGTGAATTTCAAAGATATTGAATCACTAATATTTATCATTGAGAATCTTTTGCCTTTTATTTTGCACCAACAAAAAGGAGATATAGAAAAGAGAAATTTTCAAGAGATTTGTTTTGTTTTATATTCTTATAAAATAAAGAATAAGAAAAAAACACAAGATAGTCAACAAGTTGGAGAGAAAAAAACAAGAAATTCTAAAAAAAGAGTATAATACAAACCATTGTCAACCAGCCTTTGAATGTGAACAAATACATTTGGAAATGCTTGTAAACGGATCCTGTCCTTAAGTAATTGTGCCAGATAATCAGCTGAATTAGATCCATTGATAATTAACACATTATTGTTACTATTAGGTGAACATGAGCTGTTGGTTGAAGATGGACTTGTTGGCGATCCAATACTACAAACAGAAGTATTTAGATTGGTGTTTGTAGGAGAGGAGATGTTGTTATTATTATTGTTAACAATATTCACCGAATTGATATTATTAACGTTGTCTAGATTATTATTATTATTAACGTTATTTAAATTATTGTTAACACTGGTTAAACTTGCATTGATCATGATGTTGTTGGTGATATAATTTGATTTAACGAGAGAAAGAAAAAAAAATACAATTAAAGATGATTAAAACCAACAACTTCCAATCACCATTGAAACTGATGAAAGAGAATCTCTTTTATTTTCTTTAACATTTGCTTTCTTTTTTTCTTTCAATCAGTAAATAGAATTTTCGATTACCTGCTGCCATCTAACGTTCGTAAAGTTTACTAATTTTGTGGAATTTTTTTTCTCACAATTTTTTCCAAAATTAATTTTCGTTTGTATTTCTATTAATCGTTTCTGATTTAATTTCTGATGATTGAAGATTCGTTTTTGTTGATTAGAATTAATTTTGTTGTTAATTTTTGTTGTGTCTTCTTGTTGACTTTGATTTGCATTTTGTTTCTTTTTGTTTTCCTTTTGGTTCGTTGGTAAGTTTTTTTTAGTTTTTGTTGTTGTTGTTTTTTTCTCGTTCATTTGTGTTAACCATTTACTTTACAATCAAATTGTTTCTAGTTAATGTTAATCATGTTTTTAAATTGAACTGAATTGAGAGACTTGCCTGATTACTATGGTGAGTTTTTTGTTTTTTCAATTGTTCTTTTTGATTTGGTTGAGATTGATAGAAGAAAATTTTCTTTCGAATCCAAGAAGATACTAAATATCTAATATCGGGATCAAGTTTAACGTTAATAAACCGTTAAAATGAGTCCCGATAGTAGATAAAAATATCTAATTGAAAAATTGAAGGCAAAAAAAAAGTCAAACAATTAACTGGACCATCAATTAATGACCATAACGTTTCCTGACTAATTGTTTAAGTGTTGCTAAATTGATTGGGTGAACAATTAAAGTCTCAATGTTTAAATATAAACAACGTTTAATTTGAATAGTCAGTTGACTTTTTTTGTTCACCTTATTACTTAATCCATATTAAGCTAATCACCTTTGTTAACATAACCTCTTATTAGATTACCAGTTTATTTATTTTTAATTGTCCTAACAATTAGTCACCCCCAGGGTAAATCATCACGTTAATCAACCCTTTTAATCATTGGTTTAATAAGCCAAAAAAAAGGTAACTGACAATTTGTTTTAATTTTTTGTAATAATTTTTTTTTACTTCTCTCTTTAGTATCTTTGATCGTTTGTCCAAAGGTGTTGGTCATTTTTACATAATAATTGGAACATAATTTATTAATTGTGACTGTAATTTCTCTGTGTGTGGGTGAATAATTAATAACTAACAATTAACGTTGTCTTCTTTTCACTCTCTCTCAATAATCTTTCAATTAGTAATCCGTTTGTTGCCATTTTCTTCAATTGGAAATTTAATTCTCTTCTATTCTCTTTGTGCGTCCATCTTGGATTTCTGGAAATTTCTATAAACAAAAAAGAGACACCAAAGGGTTTGGATTTTTTTCTGTTTTCCAAGGTAAGTTAATTTCTTATTTTTGTCATTTTTTTGGTTTAATTGTTTCATTATGATTAGATTTCCTCTCTTCCTTTTCCTTTACGATAACATTTAATGGTTTATGTTTAATTTGGTTAGTAATTAAGTCTCGATGAACATTTTGATGATTTAGATGATTCCTTTTGTTTTTTTTCCATTCTGTTATAAATTATGGTTGGCTGTGTATTCTTGTTGTATATTTAGTAGATTTATGTGTATATATTGATGTTTGTTTTTCTCTTGATGATGATGATGATTATAGAGGGAAGATGACACAAAAAAAAGAGTTTTCTTGTTTTTCGTTATTACATTTAGATGTATGTATAATATTTATATTGTTTGTGTGATGTTGACAGTTTGACTTTAATAGGCTTTGATTTTCATCCTCACACGATAAAGGCCTGATCAGAAAAAAAAGATTCCATGATGATGACGATGACGATGATAAGAAATGACGACGACGATGATAATGATGTCTCCTTGTTTTAGTGTTTTTCTTTGCCTCTTCTTTAATTGTATATATTTGTATTTGTGTTGTGTGTGTGTGTGTTTTTTTTTCATATGATTTCGGTGGTTAATGATGTTGATTGGGTCATCGTAGGTCTGATATGTTTGCTTTACTGCCAAAAATTTTCTCTAATTGTGATTCATAATCGTTGAAATTTCTCTTCATTATATCCATACAGGGTCCCAAAAGTCGTTCAAAAGCTCCAACATCAAGAACTTGTTTGTGATATTTTTGTTAATGATTCCAACGGAAGGCGGAGGAAGATGGATCGTGTTACATGGTGGTGATGATAATTGTATCAAAGGAAATGGTTATTGAGTGTGGATGGAACAAAATAAAATCAAGAATTAGTTTATTACCAACAACAGCGAATTAAGGCAAACCTGAAGCTCGCCCACGAGAGAATTAAATCATTTTTTGACTCTCTTAATTCTATTTCTAATTAGAAATCAGAATGATATTTATAAATGAATTAATGAAAGAGAGATTCAAGATTATCAAGTTCTATTACGTGTTTTCGTCAATCATGTTGTGGAAAAAGGAAGAAAAAAAGTCAAACCTGGATCACGATTAAATCTTTAATGGATATTCAATCTTATTTACTCTTCTAAATCTAACAAATCAAAGCCATATGTTCAATTTTCATTCTTATGGATTAACTTATATTTATCTCAACTTTTGGATTATATTCGAATGATTCAACAAAGAATCAATTTAACAATAGGTTTTCTCCGGACTAGCTGTTTATCTCGTCTTTGATTTGTATACATCTACGATCCTGATCATATTCACCTCACCTGAATCTAATTACACAAGATGAAGGAAATTCTAGAAACTCATTAATTGACAAGAGAAATCAAATGTAATGGTTTTTCTTATAGTCAAATGATTATCGTAACCAGTTGAATTATGGAGTTTTTATTTCTAATTATGACAATCAATTGATTTTGCCTTTTGGTGGTGGTGATTGATTGGTTATAAGATACTTACATGCAGTCTTGACACCATCAACAGCTTTAACTGACGCTGCTCGAGGTTTGTGTGTTATAAGTGCTAATTCACCAAAATATCCTCCATTAGTTAATCTTGATAACTCTTTCTCTTGTCCTCTCTGTAATTACACAGGTAACCAAAATTGAAAAGAAGGAAAAAACAAAAGCAAAGAGAACCGTTAATAGGATTGACAACGAGTTAATAAGCCTGACAAAGTCCATTGAGATGGTTGGATGAATAGCTTATTTCCAATAATTACCTCATCAATTTTTGTGATTACCACAGTTCCCTCTTCAACAAAATACATTCCATCAGCCTGATCACCCTGTGCATGGAGAAAAATGTAACAGCAAAAAATCAAATTCAAAGGAATTAATTCAATGGTTCAATTGGTTATTTGATTATGATGATTGGAGTTTACTTTAGATTTACCTCTTTAATGATGACTTCTCCACTTCGAAATGATTTTGGTGTCAAAGCATCACAAAGATTCATCCTTTCGTATGCCTATGAAATAGGTAGAAAAAGACAAATATTGTTACAAACTAAATTCTAAAAGTGGAGGAAGATTGCCAAGAGAGAGAGAGAGGGAAGAAAAAAGTTACAAAATAACAAGAAAGATTGACAATTTATTTTACCATAAATTGTCGTGTTTCGTATTGTTTATAAATTGGTAACATAAATTGTTCACTCACCTCAAGAGACTTCAACATTTCAACTCTTTCCAACAGAGCTTCATATGTTTTCCTTTTCTTGAAAGCTCTTGATAAAACTATCTTTCGAAATGTTTGACGACTCTGGAGAAAATAGAGGAAAGAAAAAGTCAAAGATAAAGATTTAGAATTACTCTTCTTCATGGTAAAATTATCATTCTATTGACAATTTAATTTATTCTCTTTTTTTCATTAGATTGTTCTGTCTGTATTTTTCTTTTTTGCCTATCCCACCATTAGGAATGATTCTGGTTTCATCGATCCATTGACTGAACTTTACTTGTCCAATTGAACTTATGTCTTATTCTCATACTCATACAATAAGATATACACGGTGATCAAATAAGCTTAAATTAAGATGAAACTTATTTATATTTGATTTGATTGGATAATTAACTGACCATCGCCCAAAGGGATCCTTCAGATTTGGCTTCAACTGATGCTGATCTTGGCATGTTATACATAAGAGCAAGTTCACCAAAGCTTCCGGAATCAGTGTACTCTCCAAGTTCAATATGTTTACCGTCATTTGTACAGTAGAATCTGAAAGTTCCCCTGTTATAGAAATGGAAGAAAAATTTTGTTTTAGTTCGAGAAAAAAGACAAAGACAGAGGGTGAAGAGCAGAGGAAAATTCATAATTTGACATCCAAGTGAATTATTAACATCATGGAGGAAGCAAGTGCACAAAAAAACATCATCATCTTATAATTTGAAACCTAAATTTTTCTTTCCTTAGTAAATTGGTAAAAAATTTCATGGGTTAATACAACACCATGAAAGGAGCAACAGAATTGAATCACTTCTCCCACTCATCATCTCTAGCATATTAAACAGATTTGCGTGATAATGGGTAACTAAAAAATTTACAACAACCTCTGTTTATTATCATAACATCATATTAAATGGATTATAAACAGTGAACTAAATGGAAAATTTTTTTCTCAATTCTCCTTTTTTTACCTTTCAGAATTTCTCAAAGAAAATACCATTAAAGGAATCAAATACATTTATGATGCAAGACAACATATTAACTTTCACGTTATGTGATGATGGTAGTGATGATAATTCATGATGAAAACAGTGAGCATATTGAACCAATGGATGGAGTCACAACAATGATTAAATCAAAAAAAAAGGAAAAAGCTAAGAAGAAAAGAGGAAGAAGGATGAAGATGATGGAAAAAATGAATGATAATAGGGAGTGAATTTGCTTTTCTCCAAGGTAAATGCTGTTTGATTATCATGGAATCACTTTCTCTCTCTTTCTCTCTCCTCCTTTTCCTCTTCCTGATTCATGCAAAAACAGTTACAATGATTATCATTGTGTTTACATTGCAATAAATCAAAATGGCAACAACTAATATCACCTGTCAAAGTTTGACTGGTAAGCTGATTACATTGATTCTCAATGTAAGTTAACTGTATTTACTATTAGATTTTCCTCTTACATTTTGCATTTTCAATCTTACTATTACCATTTCACTTACTCTTTTTACCTGTACTTTTTTTTACCTTATGTTTAGGAGCAGATAAGTGTAATAAAAGCAAGAGGATAAGGATAAGAAGGCGGAGTAGGAAAAAAAACTATCAAGAAAAAAAAAGGTTTCAAGTTAAGATGATTCTTGTTGTATTGGAAATAGTTCTGGGAATGATGAACCACTCATTGGGAATAATATAACTGTTCATTTTATGTGCAATGGTTTATTTAAGGTGAGTTTCAATCTCTCATCTTTTTTTCCCACCTCTGTAACATAATCATCAGTCTCACTAAGACTTTTTTATTGTCTATCTTTTTTATGCATATTTTGTATGATAGTTTTTTTCTACCAACATCAATTCAATAGGAATCCATTTTACCCTGTTCGTCGTTACCATCATCTTATATCATCTCTTATAATATACATAAGTTGGTTTACATTGATTGAATCAACATTCATCCAAAAAAAAAGATAACTGAAGAGGAATCAAAGTTATCTGACAAGACCAGGGAATTCAAAGAGTTGTGATGAAATGAAATTTCATCTCAAAGAAAACTCTATGATAGTGCTCTACATTAATCTGATTAGAATGAATTTTTCTTCCTTATTCATTACGATTAACTTTATCTAAATAATAGAAGTGAATTGTTAATGAGTTGATTATCAATGTTAATTGTAGCCTTATTCATACTTTGACCTATTTTGTTGATATAATACTAAAAGCATGTATTTATCATTTGTTACCAATTGATTCTGTTTGATTACAAAGTTGATTTAGCTTTAATTTTAATGAGTTTCTGAATTCTCATCAACCATTAACCTTTTTTTTTCTCATCTAATGTTTTACCTTGACTTTTACTCCACTCAACCTTAATCTTATTTTTGTCTTTTCCAATCTTCCCATAGGAGTTAAATTAATCAAGTTTAAAATTGTAGCAACGAAACATCAACAATCTATTAGTATTAATAGAAAAAAAACAACATCAACAGAAACTTGTTTTCTTCAATTGTTTATCAACAATCGTAATAATGAATATATAATATTTAGAATGTATTTAGATTTAAATGCGTAGGTTTGTGTCTTTCATCTTAAAATTAAGTGATACAAAAAGCAGAAAGTTTCTTGTATCATTAAATTAAATTCTTCTCCCTTAGTTACCTGTGAATACCTTTGCATCATCTTCATCTTCATCATACATCAGATCTAAAAGAAATACTGAATGGGATGTTGTAAATATTTGCATGAAAGAAGATAAAAGTTTGATATGAAAAAAAAGAGATGCCAAGATAATGTCAAGAGGAAATTTGAATAGAATTAACAGAGAAAAAAGAATGAATATTCATTGAAGATAAGATGATGATGATGATGAAGATGAAGATGATAAAGAAGATGTAAAACAAGACTACTCACTAATCCGCTTATGTAAGTTTATTTCGTTGAAGGTTAAAATTGTGAAATAAAATAAGATCCTAGTTACTCTGAGTATTGACGATTAACATGAATCCTAATCTAAATACTCAGTGATAAAGCTTGAATATTATTAAAATGATGTAATAAGATGATTAGTTGCTGACAAATTGTCACCAAACCATCAACTGTTATTGTGAAACAATTTGAAATTTCATCCTAATCACCAACTATCGTTTTCATTGAAATCATGAAACTTTTTCTCTGGACACTGAGCCTGGTCAGTTTTTCTTAGGCTTGTCACGATTTTTATTCAGATTTCTTGATGTGAACTTTTTTTTCAAAAGGACGCGAATCAATGCTAAAACTTATTTCGTATTAATATCTTGATTATCAACAATCATGTTGATTGTTGTTATTGATTTTTCAAGTACATACTCTTGGTTAGATTGTTACTCTTGTGATGTTTGTTTATTTCCATACGAATTGTGAACTGCTATTGTTATTATGATTACTTCAATTTTGATTTCATCATGTTTCATGGTTCCAGATAAATTCATGGATTTAATCATGTTGAACTTTTTTTTTACAGAATCATTCTCATGGATAATAATAGGTATTATATTGGATCAACGAGCTGTTTGATTTAAACTAACGACAACAATTAATTCATCGCTAAATTTATTGGTTCATATTTTTTTTCTACTTGATTGATTCAATTGACTTTCTATTGAATCATTTGATTGAAAATCATCATTTCAATCTCATGTAATTGATGTTAATTGTTTGAGATTAGATTTTCATTTATATCCTTGATTTAAGTTTCATAATTCATTTCTAATCTTTTCGTTATTTTCTTTTAAATTGTTTTTTCTTCTCCTCTTATCAAGAATTGATTCCTTAATTGTATCGTTAATCTGATGGTCTTTTATCAATGGTTAATCCGATGACCAGTAATCGAGATGATGGAGACAAAAGATAAAAGATAAAAGCTTATCAAAGTAAAAGGAAAAGGAAAAATTGCTCAGGGAGTTATCCTTGGTTTCTCTTTCATCATGGAAAATTATTCTGGTTTCACTTAAGAGAATCTTTTTATTTTCGACCCTAAGAAAAGAGGACAATGGTCATTACCATCACAGCTTTGGTCAGACTTGTACTCCTAATGATACTAAGTAGTGGTCAAGATTTGACTTTCATTAGCTGGACAAACGAGAACTTATGAGTTTGACCTTTAATTTAGATGTGAGGTTAAAAAGGTAAGAGATTATGAAACGTTTAATTGTTACCAAGTTTATTTGGGATACTAATGATATTCAGTTAAAAGAGTAACAATTAATTTCTAAAAACTCATTATGGCTGGAAGATTTTCTGACAATTAAATTTAATTGTTATTCAGATCACTTTAGATTATTATTACTATTGTGTGATAATTTAACCGATTCAATTAGTCACAAAAAAATAGATCCAATAGATTTCAAGTGATAATTTAATTTACTTATCATTAACAATGTCTCATTGTTATTCTAGACAATTGTTGTTTAATTGTTGTTGTTGTTGACATATTTATTAAAGGTAAGAGCTATAATTTTAATTGAATTTTACTTTGAGATGATTATCATTATTATTAAATATCAATTCTTTTCATCTTCTTCAGGCTGAATTACAATTAATGACACAGAATCATGTTATTACTGAATCATCGGCAATAACCATGAACCATAATCATTTTTCAAATCGTTAATCAGTTGACACTATCGTATATTTAACAAACTAATACAAATCCAAATGATATCATTGTAATAGTTTTATCACAAATTTCAGGGTGAAGATTAACTAAAAGTGGGAAGAAAATGAAATTCTGTATGAATAACAATCTGATGAACATTTATCTTCTCTATCTTTCTCTTTCTTTCTTTCTTTCTCTTCCATGGAACCATCAATTATGATACCAGAATTACCAGGATATTCTCAGTGTTCTCATAAATCTCATTGATTATCTTTCTTTTTTTTTCTTTCTTTTACCAGATTTTGTTCCCTTTCTCTCTGAGCTTTATTATCATTGGAAATTGACAATATCTCGATTTACATGGGATTCGATTGATATTACATGTATCTAGAGTGAAAATGTTATTGGAGATAAAAAGGAAAACCACATCAGTCGATAATCACCAGAAAAGTTCACCTAATTTGATAACAAGATGAGTTTACAATTTATCTTCTCAGAAGTTTCTTTTTAGATGAGATGATGAAGATAATGAATCAATTCTAATCCATGAAATGTTACCTTAATCAGAAACTTTCTTCATCTAATTAACTGTCACCTTAACATTTATCACTCTCACAAGACTAACCAAATATTTACCTCGCATCAATGTTAAGCTATAATTAATAATAACAATTAAATGAGCGTTCAAATTCAATTAGTTGTTATCATATTAATGATTAGCTGAAAAACTCTAGAAAATCATAGATAAAACTTGATTAACGAAAAAGAGAGGAAAAAACTAATCAATAATCAGTATTAACAATTAACATGTTTCATCAACTAATTGATTTATTAGAAAAAAATAAATGAACTAAATTTCATGACTAATTAATTGTTAATCAATCTAATTAACATCTACTTATTTTTACCTTCTTACTTATAGATTACAATGTTTATCTAGTTTGTAATCACAAAATTAACCAACAATTTATTTCATCTGATGATTTATGAAAACCCCACCGGGGAGTTTTTCATGAAAGACCCAAAAAGATAATCTCATGATAAATTCATATTAACATTAATCAGAATGATTTATATTATTTGAGAATTGAAATTTGAATCCATGGTGAAAATATGAATTTCATTTGAATAGTAACTGATTTGTTGAATTGGTTCATCTTATCAACCAGATTAATGATATATTTCAATTAATTATATTACAAAAATGGTTGCATGTTGCTTTGAGCTTGTTTCAAATTCATTGGTGACTTGAACTTTTATACCTTTGGTGTATTACGAGTACACCATGAATAACACCACCATCACCAGATTATACATTTTGATAGTGAAAACTATGTTACCTTGATTATATTGCCTTAAGGGTTTTAACCCAAATCCTTTGTGAATAATCATGCTGTATTTATGATGTTAATAGTTACATATTTCAAATATCCGATTTATCCCTTTGAATTTATCATGATGAATTTTAATAGGAAAACAAAATAGTCTTTTCCACCCAATGAACTTTTCACTCTTTCCATACCTCTCCCACCCATCTATTCATATTAGTATCATGATTTCTTTCAGTATGTGTCCCAATTACCCTGACAATTTTGTCTTGGAGGCTTTTGTAGTTATATTTAAGGGGAAAAAGTTCTGATTCTCACCATGATTAGCATTCACTTTATCATCTGATTTGTCAACATTTTGAATTCATTGTTTTCTCTCATAAATTGATCTGAATCTTTTTCTAGTTTTTTTTTATTGTTCATGTCAATTAGTGAAATAAGTGTGAAAAAAGTTCTACAGGCAATTAACAAGTTTACAAACTTGATTTTCACCCAGAATTTAATGAGTCTTTCATGGTGATGAGAAATAGTCATGTTTTCATCTCTCTGTTTAATCATGAATACTCACACTGATTGTGAAACTAAAATGAACTACAATCAAGCTGATTACTATAAGATTATCGATATTAATCAACGATTGATTAGTAAATCATGTAACCATGACGATTATTAATTTGGTATCTTTAATCATCTTTATACAAAACTGATAATCTCAATTGCTGGAATAATTTATATTCATATTAATTATTAAATCTCCTTTTATACTAATCAGATTACAACAATCAATTTTGATTAATATCGTTGTTTTATCATTGGTCACTAATTATACGTAATTTTGATCATTTTCATAATGATTATCATTGATTTTTAGTTTATTATCAAATTGATTTGATTGTTAATCAGTTTTGCTAATCAGTTGCTAATCAAGGTTTGAACTTAATGATTCCCTTGACACAATTTAATTGATTCTGATTATCATTCCTAATGGTTGACCTGTTTCAATATAAACATTTCGCTTGGATAATCAAGTATCAGAAATGAAATTAAATTAGATGACCACTTGAAAACTAACCTTAAATTGTTACACTGACCAGTTTAAATTGAAACATTTTATCATTTTCTCTAGTTACTCTCAAATAAGTTAATTGGGACAATTAACTTGATTATTGATACAATGTATTCAATTTCAAATTCATGCGACTGAGATTAATATCGTTGGTAATATAATCTAATTTGAGAAAGTGATTCTATCATTAATCAAATTTTTTCTTACTATTCATCAAATCAAGTTACTATCTAATATAATGATTAACTGATTATCACTAACAAAACTTTTAATTAACTGATGATTACGATTATAAATTACTATGGATGATTGTTTGATTAGTTAATTTATATAAGTTACTCAACATGAGCTATTGAATCAAGGTTAACCTTTAGGTTCAATATTGGTAAAAATTTCGGTCAATATAAACAGAACATTGGAAAGAGAGATAAAACTCTGAACGGAAAAGGAAATGGAAACTCACCTTTCTATTACGTAAAAATAGTCACCATCATCTCCTTGCCTTATAACTAATTCACCAGGATGCACCTTCCTTTCAAACATGGCGTCCAGAACTTCTGACATGTCTACCTGTAGTTTTAAAGAATGGAAAGAGATAAAAAAGAAATGGTCAAGTATTAGGATGGAACCAAAATCTTTGAAGCTAAATGTTTATGTCCAGTTTTATGGGCAAGTTACTGAAAAGTGGACATATTACAAAAGAGGACGAAATAATCTAACGAGTAAAAAGTATTCACTTTATATTTTATTGAGGAAAAAAGTGTAACTTTGTTCATCTTTGGTAATTCATTGACTTATCTCAGTCACTCATTCATTCTGAAAGTGACCAGCTTAACTGGTCAATATGTTTGATTACATTGACATTTTATGATATAAGTTCATAACTCTTAATAACTGAATTGAGGTTATCATTATCACCATGAACCATCTGAATTCAGAGACACATTCATGATGATTATCTCACAATTGGGATTGTTATTTAACTTTTATTAGTGTTGATTTTTCCCCTTGGTCCTTTTTTTTTATTTGTACTGATATTTTTTTGTTCATCTCAATTCGTGATCTGAATCATTAAATAATCCACCAGAGTAATAATAATATATCAATATCATGAATGGTAAACAAAGGTATGAAAGTCAATATCAAAATTATACTGATTGTTATCCCAAAATTAATCACAATTGATTGATTTGTGTGAGATCAATTTTCATCAAGCTAACAATTGATTCCATCATATTATCTGTTAACAATCAATGTCTTTTGTCATGATTAAATGGCTTCAACTCTTTAGGTCCATCAAAACAATTTATTCACTAAGGACTAAGACAATGAGTGAAATTAATCTACTGACCAGTAGTTAAATTTACATTTTCTCAGTTGAAAAGTGAATAATTCAGTTTAATTTATAAAGGTAAACAGAAAGGTAACTTTAAAATCTACTCGGGGGATGTGATTTACTGATTAACACTTTAATTTGATTGTGATCGAAACTTACCTGATCCAATGATCTGAATAATAATATACCTTTGACAGCCTCACCAAGACGTTTCCTTTGCTCATCACTTTTAGGGTGAACTACCTGTTAATTAAACATAAGATAATTCAATGATTAAATTTAATCACAATGATTATGATGAATCCCCATTTGGATAATGATTGTCACAATTGAATCTAACCTTTGGTTTACTTCATTGAAAAAGTTAATTGTGATCAAATTTCGTATTTAATATCTCATTGTATTTCTCTGTTGATTCAGAATTGATTTATTCAGATAAATAACTGAATGATCAACCATGAATCTTATAAAGCAAATTATAACCTTAATTCAGTCTGAAAGTTGCAGTTTCTTATTGAGAAATTGATATTTTCAGATGAGTTTCCAAGAATATTGTGAAACTCTGAATCCAATAATCGATTGCATGATAATTGAAATGTTATATTATAACAATAGTACATTTTTTAATAACTTTTGAATCAAACAATTTATTGATTCACTTACTAATAAATCAATACGATAGTATTATCATGATTTTCATCTGAAATTCATTCAACTGAAACAGTTTTTATCTTGATTACGTTAAACTATCATGTTAACATGATAATAATAACAACAAGAAAACTTGAGTTTCTTCATCAATACCTGATTGAACCAGAATTGACTGTTCATGGTAAAAATAAAAATGAAACTCAGAGCAAAGTTGCATCACGAAAAATTACCATGTAAATAGTTTTATTATCTTATTGTACTTTCACTATTAGATAATCACAGTTAAAAAAATTCACTTGAGAATTGATCTGAAAGAGTTAATCTAATTATCAATCTTGAAATTAATTAACTTGAACTCAACTGATATGAATGAGTTGAGATTTTCAGAGATTCTAATAACTTCAACTCGATCTTACAAGAATTTGATAAAACAATTTCCCACTCCTTTTTATGATAATGATGACAATAAACATGGTGATCTGATTGATATCTGATGAATTCTGACCTTTTCTTTGTATCTGTTATCTAGTAATAAATATATCATGGGTAAGCTGATTCTATTTCATGAGGCATAGCTGAATTATGATGATAATCAGGTTGGTTCTGGTTTTTGTCCTAATTAGAAACATGTTATTATCATTACCATATCATTATTTATCCTCTGCCTCCCTTGCTCACTCACTCACACTATTATCATTAACATTATTATCATATTATATTCACAATGTATCCTCAGTGTATCATGATGATATATTTTCAGGAATGATTATGATGCATTTTGTTGATAAATATGATAAAAGGAAATGCTTGACGAGTGTATTCATATCGAGGGAAAAGTTCTGGTTCCACTGATCATGCTCTTCATCATCATGGTGAAAATAGACTTTTATTTCATGGTGAATCCATTTATCATCTGTCTTCTTATTCTGAGTCTTTTTTTTATTATCATTTTCGTTTTCTTTTTCCTTCTTCTTCTGATTCTTATTATAATCTACATTTTCATGGCCATGAATCTATCGTTTATATAAACCAATGGGTCATCTTGATGGTCAGTTAAATGGATAAAAAATTGTTAATCTTACCTTTTCACCTTCTTCATCATCCTCTTCAGCTGGATCATAATGTTCAGCAAAAACTGTTCAAAGATCATGAAAAAAAAGTAAATTGGGTTTGCATTGAGTTTCTTGGTGTTTCCATCATGAATGCTATCATGAATCTCCCTGAGTTACTTACCTGATTTTCTGCGATTAAAAGATAACTTTGTGGGTGGTTCTGTTGATGAGAATGAGTAAGAAACAGTTAATTAGTAATTTAATTTAGTTCTCTTGGTTGTGATTAGAATAGGGTTAAGGAAAAGGTAAGTATGGAATCGGAATTGGAACTCATCAGGTAAATTCTGGTTCATTGTTCATTGAAAGAGTTTAAATTAAAATAATTATTCAAGTCTAATAAACTATTGGTTTAATTGTTGTTAAAAGATTGAGGACAAATTGTTAATAAGGTTTATTGAGTTGATTAAATCTTTAAATACCAATCATGTTGTTAATTAGTGAGCAAATTAAATCTTGATGAATGAGCATGAAAAATAATTGGTTGTAAATTTGTAAATATAATCATTAAATTAGCAGAGAAAAAATTAATAATGATGATTATTAACAAGTATTAACAATTGACAATTAGTTTGATTCCATTTAATTTCAATTAATCACAGGCAGAGAACTCAAGTTTAAACAGTTCTGACCATTTGCTGTTGATTTATCACCGAATACTGAATTTGAACAGAAATTTCAAAAACAAATTGAAAGTTAATTGTTGTTTATGATTTTGGTTTCGAAATGATAACGACAAAGTATTGAAACGATAACAAGATTAACGGGTTAATAGGATTGTCCTATTGATGGTGTTAATTAGCTGGTAATCGAAGTTGAAATTAGCTAATGAAACAAATCACAGGTAAACGGAATTAGAAAAAAATTACTTCCCAACGAAAAGTTTATGTTGTATCGTAAAAAGAAATGATGAAAATTGAGCTTTTTTCTTCGTTTTCATGGTTCCAAGATGATGAAGAGGTGGAAGAGAAGGATGAATATTATGATGGAGGTTGAAGAAGAGGAGGCAGAAAAAGGGAACATGAGAATTGTTGAAGATGAAGAAATAAAAGAGAAAATTCTTATTCAGGATTCTGCTCAGAGATGGGATGAATTCTTCAGGCTATTCCATGATCTATTCTCACAGTTATTCTTTACTTTTTTCTTTGTCGTCTTATCCTTCTAATCATTTTCATTTCATCTCTCATCCTCTTCTTATTGGTTTTCATTTACTTGCTTCATCTTCATCCATCCCAAGTCAACTCTAAATGTACAAAACTTTCTAGGCCTTGAGGGTTTATTTTAGTTTTCAATCTCAATCTTAACTCACTGAAATCATGGTTATTCTGATATTACTTTATTTAGACTGAGAAATAAACTCACGATAAATGCTCGTAACATTTACCATGAGATTGAAAGATAAGATCATGATAATGGAGAAACAATCAAACATCAAGTATCAAGATCATCAGCTCCCGATGATAATAAATGTTTCCTTTGATTGAGAAAAAAGAATAATAAAAAAAAACTCAAAAAGTAGGTCAACAAATTCAAGCCACTTCAAGTTCATCAACTCTTACGTAGTCATTATATTGACCATTAGGTGACCTTTAACTTTGCCCAAGGACAGAATTTCCAAATCTCCAATCACAAGAAAAGGAAAAATATTAAAATGAGAACAAATCGAACTGAAAAGTTCAGAATTAATGTCGAAAAAAACAATCAATATTCATATGATTCCAAATGTTATCATTTAGTAGTATCCGAGGTGGAAAAAAACTGAATTTGTCTTGAAATCAAATGAAATTTTCATGAGAAGTTCATTCATTCAAAAAACATAAAGAATATAACTTTATATTTCTTTTGGGATTCGATGGTCACCTCAGTTTCTCTTAATTTCGATATTGTGTTTACGAAATACGAAACCGTTGCAACTGTGATATAAAAAAAAAGAAAGACAACAAAAGTGATGGAAAGAGGAAGAAAACAAAAGAGAAAAACTCTGAAGAGAAAGAGAAGATAAAAGGAAGATGATGATAGTATCAATCGATAATCATTAGAGTGGGAAAAAAAGAATAAAAGAAAACTGGTCATTCTTTATTATTCTCATTTCTCCAAATGTCCAGTAGCAAAGTAAATAACATGAAAAGATTCTAACTGAAGAAATTACATCATCACCTTTTACCTGTATTATCTTCATCTTCATCTTCATCCTTCATGATCAATAAGAACCGATTCAAGTTTCATGTTACTAAATGAATCAGAATGAAAACTTTAACCTTTATCATTAACTTTTATCACAACTTATTGATCAACAATTAGAAGGTTATTAAATTGTGCTTACAAAGTTAATCTGACCATTGATCTTTAGTCCTAATTCATGGTTATCACAATTAAGGTGAAAACAGCTGATTAAAGCTATTTGTATATCTTCAGCCTGAGTCTACAAGGATTCATGGTAGATGTCACCATGAACGTTTGATTAACTCCAGAAAATATTATCTATCTTTTTTTTCACTCCAAAGTAAATAAGTTTATGGGAATAATTTATCATGAATGATAATATAAAAAGGGAATTAACATTTCCATAAATATGATCAAAGTGATGGAGATGAAGATGAAGATGATCAAATAACAGAAGCAATAAGTAAGTTATGTTGATCAATCGATGAATAGATGTTAAGATAAAGAGTCGATTCTAATAATATGATTAATATTAAATCTTTTTTACTGAAGAATGGAAAATGAAATTAATTTTCTTATTGACGTACAAATGTTATTATCAACATGGTTTTCATGATAATCATCACAAGATAATGATAATAAAAGGTTTTAGCGTTAATAAAATGAGGTAAGAAACTGTGAGAATTGAAGATTTTATCAGTTTATCACCAGCAGAACATGAAACTGGGGCAAGGTTTTTTTTCTCCTTCTTATTTCATCATGTTAACATTTTCTTTATCAAAAAAAAGAGAAAAATTTCTACAGAATAATTTTAACTCCCTGTGAGTGAGGATTGGGAGAGTAGTGGTGAAGTTGGATGACTATGGAGTGGGAGCCAGGGAGTATAAATTGATAGGATAAACTGGAAAGGTATTGAAGTATGAATTTGTGTGTGAGCATTGACGTCATAATTTCATGTCTCTCTCAGTCTTTTCCCCTGAATTATGCATCTTCCTCAACTGAAAATCCAGGTTAAATGTATAGTTGCCAAGGAGAATCTCCTGAATTTTTTTCTTCTCATTCTTTATCTCATCCCGAGATATTATCAATAGATATTATCATCATCCACCTATTATGATTCAAATTTGTTCAGATAAAAATACGCCAAGCCCATTGTCATATTCATTTCAAGGCTTTTCAATGTTCATCATGTCCAAATATATTGTTATAATATCTTAATATCCTTTTGATCTGAAGATGAGTTTCCATCATGTATTAATCATGGTTTGATAGATAAACTTATCAAGTTAATCGCAACCTAATCTTTGACCTATTTTCGTCCAACGTAAAATTAATTGTCACTTATAACTCTTGGGATACTTTTCAATATTCAGATTCCAATGTCAAAATTTTATCTCAGCCTGATTCTGATGCTTTAATTTCAAGGTTTCATGTTTTTTCATTCACTTCTTACTACTGGTCAATGTTTTTGTTGACCATTTGTTTTAGTTTTCTCTTTTTTTTGAACAATTGAGAAACTTTAATGTAACTTAATTGATATCGAGCTGTTCAGGATAAGTAAGTGAGGTTTAAAATCGCCTGAGGGTAAATTGCCTGTCAGAACAGTTTCTATGGTAGTTGACATTATCTTCATGATTGGAATATACAAGAATTGCTCAGGAAAATTGTTTGAGAGCAAAAAAAAAACGATAATAACTTTTGATGGATTAGGTTTCAGGTTAAATGATTGATGTAAACAGATTTAACCAGTAAGATTAGTTGGAAAGCAATGAAGAGGTGACAGTTCTGTATATTATGAAGATTCTCATGATGATGGAACTGAATAAATCTTGATTGTATGAGAAAGTAGGGGAATTCCAGTAGCATAAAGTGATCATCATTTTGTAGCTTCTGAATGAGTCAAAAGATGGAAACAGTTTGTTCAAGATCAACATGGTGTTTCATTATTTCCATGCATTTCTAATATTATATCTCGTATTTGTCTCCATCCTCATCATCTAGTGCTCTTCCACCCGCATCCTTGATCCCTCATCTCTCACTTTGCTTGAAAACAAAACCTACGATTAACTATTTAAACTGATGAACCTCTAAGATGTAAACTCGGTTATCTAACTGTATTCATGTTCACTGAATTGTTCAGGTTCTCCCTGAGTTATCATGTTGAAGATTTTTCATCATCATAATGTTCATATCTTGATAACTTTTTCTTTGTTTACTATTAATATTGCATCAGATTAAATGATGCTTATCATCATCAGGGTAGATTCAGAATTTCTTCAGAGTAAAAGCAAAGTTCATTGAGAAAATAAGAAAAGAAGATATTTTTTTCATCCAACCTCAAAGCTCATTTTGTTTATTATTATTTTGTAATCACCGTGATAAAGATGATAAACAATTTCACCATCTTATGGGAAGGTAATTAACAGGGGAAATTATCATTATGATGATTATAAGGATCAGAAAAAGTTCAGGCATAGAATCAGCTATAAGTAGGTTTACTTTTTCGTAATGAAATTTGCTTGAAATTTATTTCAATTATCATGATAATTTGCTTGTAAATTAATGATTCGGATAAAAAATTTTCAATTTCAAATCAATTACTCAAAATTCATTTTAAACACAGGAAATGAAATTCATAATATTAAATACAAGCAAATGTATTGAATGAACCTTCATGTTCACATGGTTACTCAACTCTAGAATGATAAAAAATTGAACAATTGGTTTGAAATTTTATCTTCAAGTAATATTTTATCTTCCTCTTCATCCAATGAATTTATCATGAGACTCATGTTTACGATGAATATTTAATAACTCGGATGAACACATGAAATCATTGAAAGCAAATAAATGTTGGCAAAATTTTCCTTAACCCATTCAAACAATAATCTAAATCACCAGAAATGAACAACTAAAATTAAGAGACAAAGATTATCTCCAAGTAGTTATGCAAAGACCTGGTCTGGGCCAAGCGTCCATACTGGACCAACATACTCGACCCACTTTTTGGAGGAAAATTCAAATTTTTTAAAACAGTATAAAAGAGGATACGATGAAACATAACATGATTTTACGAATCATCATTTTCTCATGACAGCTGATGACAGGTAAGCTCCTCTTTATTCCATCTATTTTGATAAGGTTGATTAATGTTCATTCTTTTATCTCAGATCTGGACCATTGAAGATGATACTGAGATATATTCGCAGGTATTTAAATGTTCGTACCCGTCACTTCCAGAATTGGATTAATAGAACCATAAACACTGCTATACAGCGTATTGAAATGGCTGATGAATTGAGAGATCAACTTGAAGCCACTGGAAAAAGGAATCAGACATTTAAAGAGAATAATGAAAGATTATCCAAGGAAATAGATGATCTGGCTGAAGAGTTAGAGGAATCCGCCGACATAATAGATGGTTATACAGATTCTATCAATTCATTAAATGATAGAAGTTTGAAGACCGAAATTATCGAAGATAAGAAATATAATGAGTATCTACTCATTCGTCTTGAGAGATACACCGGTCTTCCCAAAGACGATTTTTCTGAAAGATACAATAAGTGGTGTGAAGTTAAAACACAAGAAAATGAGCGGAAAGAATCAGAAGAGAGACGTCAAAAAAGAGCCAGAGGGCTTTAATTTTCAAATAAATATAGCTATTTAGCTTATTTCTGCTTAAATGTATGTTTAAATCATTTCAAATTTCGTGTCAAAAAATATCAAAAATTTGGTTCAGAAAGTTTGGTCCAGTATGGACGCTTGGCCCAGACCCGATCTTTTTATAACTACTTCTTCATGATTAATTGATTGATTGATCGGTTAGATTTAAGTGTGGCAATATCATCAATAAGAAAATTCAATGATAAATCTGAGACTCATTTTCTCTTCAGAGATTGAGAAACTGAATTACCATTAAAATATTGATTTTATTGCAAAATTTTTACTCATAAAAATCATCAGTTACCAATATGAGTTTCATTTATCCCAATTACAATTACAAATATCCAAATTTCTATGAAGTATTTCAGGATAAGTCTCCTTAAAGTCATCATGTAATAAATTCCGAGTTTGTAATAAATCAATTCCAATAGCTTCTCGTCCTCATCATTGTTTACTTAAAATCCGAATTTCACTAATTAACCACCAAAGATTGAGTTGAATTCTTGTTCACACTCAGAAAGTTATATATAATTTGAACTTTTCCTATTCCCCTGATAATCCTGATCCTCCTTTTCACAAGTTAAACTTAAATTAAAGATCAGCAATTTGATAAGATGCTTCACGATAATTAACTGTTGCTCAGGTAACTTAATCTTTTTGGAAAAATACTTTCAGTAAACTGAGTAAATTTCAATTACAGAATTTAGTTTAAACTCATAAAGTTAAGTGTTAATCTCAACATGATCATGTTAACCAGAAAACCAGAATATTAATCTTATCATGATCCCTTTTCATGATCTTTATTTTTGCTAATCCAGCAAAATTAATCGTTTACTTGAAATAAAATTGTTGTATTAATATAATAACAATTGAAATAATAATGTTGGTCAACAAATAATAAGTTGACCATGGTCAAGGTGGAGAAAGCAATGATTTCTGGTTGATAAGTTGATTTCATGGTATAAACCTGAATGAAAAATCTTGATCCACATTGAAACACAACGAATACAATAGCGATCTCATTGAACGCTTGATGAACTTCAAAGTATCTGTTAATCATGGTAACCAGGTTAATAAATATCCTCTTTGTCATTCTCCAACCATTATCATCATCATCATTTTTCATCTTCCACCCACTCCCTCACCTTCCTCTTCCTCTTCCTTTTTTCTCCTTCTTCTTTTTACTTTGTAAACCAAAACCTCCTGAAGATCAGTTTCAGTGTTATTTTCATGGTAACTGAATTTCCCATTGTAGTTTCTCATCTCAATTGTAATTTCATCCCAATGATTTTTTTTCCTTCCCCTATCATCCAACTCTTATCATCGTCTTCTTCTTGGAACAATCATTGCAATTTCATTAAACCATGTAACCGGTAGCTCATCTTCATCATCATCATCATCATCATCATCATGAAAAGTTCTGATCATGATTCAGTTTCCTCTTCTGTTTTCCTCACCCCAATTCTGAAGACTCTGAAAATCTCATTCCTTTACTTTCAACTGTAAATGTCCAATGGTTTCCATTGTTTCTCTGTAATTTATTTATTAAGAAAATGAACTTTCAGTTCCTGGTGTTATCATTATCATGATGGATTCTGGTTTATTTGAACAGTTAACTTTTATCGATTACAATTGTATTGTAATAATAAAAACAGCCAGGGATCGGGAACAGAAAAAACTAACAATCAATTGATCAATTCAAATACAAACACAATAACCTAATATAAAAGCTCATGAAACTCAACTTGTGAAATTCAAGATTCTGGATCAATATATTACTGAAACAATTGGTGATTATTTGAACATTTTATCATGGAAAACTAAATAGATATGTTTCATTTTGTGAATTTAATACTAATACATTTGAGAGAAAATTAAATTACTCTCACAAACTTAATGTATACAAATAAAAGTAACTTGAATATGATGTATTCTGATAATTATCACATTTAAATTGTTACAATTAATAATAACTGTTGAATGGTATAACCATCATGGTAAGAGAAATGATTTAAACGAGATTGAAAAAAGATCTTCAGAAATGAGATTAATTCAACTGAGAGGAAAATGTAAATCATAATCATGAGAAGATAAAATTTATTAACATAACTGAATAATTTCATCTTCTCGTGATGATCAAGAGAGAGAGAGAGAGAGAGAGAGAGAGAGAGAGTTACTTTTTTCATCTTAAGTTCTGAACTACCATGATAATATTATCCATGATCAATGTAATAACATTTTAAATAAAACTTGTCAAATGGGGGAAATTCAAAATTGGATTTATCAAGTTATTCCAATGTTATCATGAAAACTCACCATGAAAGTTATTATCTACTCTGAATAAGTAATATTATAGAAAGTGGGATAGGAAAGTTTATTTTGATGGATATGAAATAGTTTCTGTTCATGGTGACTGTTAATTTTTGATCAGATTTTCTTATTACTATTATTGGTTGTTCCTGTTACTCACAAATTGAACTTGTTGAACTGAATAACTATCATGAACTCAACTGAAATTATGATAACATTTTGACTTCATTCCTTTTGCTGACCAGTCATTGAAAAGACTACTGGGTTCCCTTTCGGATTCTCTCATATTAATAAAATGCTCAGTTGTTATGGTTCATTGTTCCTCTCTCACCATCTCCTGCTCGCTGATCATGATATTCTTGATTGGATGGAGATTATATAAATATAATGAATTCCAAATACCAATAAACTCAGAATTCTTATCTTCTTCTTTTCTTCTTTTATCCTCTGTCTGCAGATCAAAATGATAATATTATTGAAAGATTGTTCGAATAAAGAGAAAAGAAGTGTAAACAATAGAAATTCTGTGTTTCCATGATGATAATGGTTTTCTAAATTAGAATATGTAACAATAATAATAGAGGAAAAATCGAAAAAAAGTGAAAGAACGAAAATTCCGAGAAAAACATGCAACATTCTGTATAAAAGTTCAGATGAAATTGATAGTGTTTATAACGATAATTTAACTCAAATTCAATTGATGAAATGCTTACCTATCATGAAATTTTTACGATTATCATCATGATTGAAGTTACAATTAAATGGGAAAAAGAGGTGAAGGTTACCCATGAGAAGAGGAAAAACTTTCTCGAACTTGAAACTTCAGTGAGAATTGTGAACATTTTTTAATATAAGAAGAACTTTTCAAACTCAGAATTCTCATCATATTACTTTTTTTTTTGTTCCTTTTTCTCATATCATCCTCAGGTATCATTATCATCATCTTTATCTCCAGTATCATGATGGAGCTTTGAAGAATAGGAAGAGGAAAAAAAAATCAATATTCTGAAAGTAAATCTACTTTGAATTCTTTGTTCTCACTTTTATTCTGTTATTTATCTTTTTTCTCGTCCTCATCTTCTTATATTTTTTTCTCTTTCTTTTTTCTTCTTTCCAGTACTTTGTTATTTCTTCTTCATCTTCTTTATCTTCATGAACCTCTTAACTTTTTTTCTTTCTTCATGATAAACTCAAAGAGTTTTTCTGGTCAAATCTATTAGTTTTTACCAATTTAGCTCAATCTTCATCATCTTCACTTTTTCACCTTGTCATGATAACTTTTTGCCTCCTACAATCAGTTGTATCATTCCCATCACTTTGTTCATTATCTTCATCATCATGACCATCATTAACATCATCATAAGTTTGTCCTCAATATTATCAACTTCAATCTCTATTCAGTCTCGGAACTTTTTTTCTTCATTTTCTTCACAAACAAACAATTTTTCATCTTCAATTGTTCATTTCAATTATCGTCAACATGAACTGAATCTTACATGATAAATTATATTGAACTATCTCCACTCTGTATAATCAAAGCTATCGAATGTTAAGTTTTTGAATGATAATAGCGTCGGTTGAAGGGGCTGCTAACATGATCTCTGAAATATTGAGTCTTTTCATGAAAATAATCTCTGAATTTTTATGATTGTACATCCATAAGGGTTCGATGAAGTGGAATAAGAAAAGTTCTGAAAAGACTGAGACTGGAATTTCCAGCTGATGAGATCGAGAGATATATTGTTTGATTTGAGAGAGAAAAGCTCATCGATTTTATGTGAACATTAATTAGAATCAAAAGATGAATGAATTGATCGGAACAATCATCAATTCAATCAGAGTTATCGTTGTTTCATTGATTAGATTATGTGATAGAAACATCATCATGCATCATGATGATCTTAAACTTTGGATAGGAAAAGATGAAGAAAAATTTCCTCATGTTTTTTTTTCTTGGATTCCTAAAGACTTGAAAGCTTTTCAATCATCGGTTGTTAACTTTTTTTCTGATGAAGATTCAGTTAAACTTTTGGTAACATTAAGATGATAATACTCATGATATCATGAAGTAAATATATCATGGTCAGAAAGCTAATCAGCAAGAGTGAAAATCATGTTGAAATAGTTTTTTTTCTCAGATGAATTCCTAGTAACCCTGATTCTTACTCACAGTCCAAGAATTCCAAGTCTCATTCCCCATAAACCCAGATTTCATGAGTTATTTTTTGATTACATGAAATTCATTCAACATCTTTTATTGTGAAAACAAAGGAAAAGTTTCAAGTTTAACTTGAAAGTGGTTCTCAAGATCATGTAAGTTTCAATTGAGCTCCTTTCATGATAACTTTGGAGAGATGAAGAAATTGCTAAACTGAAATGCTATCAAAAAGTAATGATTTACTTAAAGTTAAATTCATAAAAGTCAAAGTTTCCATGAAAAAATCACCCTGATCTCCAAAGGAAATGATAAATTCAAAAATAATTTTATTCAACTCTTCAAATCACTCTAACAATGAACACCCACTCACAACGAGATTCTAATTTCATGAATTCTGATTTTCAGTTGACAAGAAGAGAAATAAGTTAAATATGTTCAGTGAATATTATCATGAATCTGATTATTACAATAGTCGATTCAGTAAATAAAAATATTCACAAGAATCAAATGTAACTTTTTATGGTGAAAATTTGGAAATAAAAAAATCTCATTTTTCATTCATAATCAAATGCTGACAAGGTTAATGTTGGGGTATTAACATTTTCCAATGATAATAACTGAGTTTCACTTTAGCTTTACGATTCTGTTCAAAATTTGTTTGAAAAAAAAAGGATTAATCAATTTTGAGATAATCTCATTGATAAGTGAGGAAAATTGAATGATAGTAATTATTTAGATTGTCAGAAGACAAATGAAACAATGTTATATTTGTTTCATGTTATTATTACATGATAATTGTTGAGAATTTGAATAATTCTCTGAATTATTCAGATAATAAAAGAGAGAAAAAGTAAAATATGAAAATTTAAAACAACTCATATTCATTATTGAATTTAAATTGTTTCATATAATTCAA